AAATTTTTAAGTGGTCTGCATCATCGACCTACAGTGTGCATTGAATTTCTATTCCCTTCTGAACACACTCCAATGAAGCATCAGAAATACTGGAACCATCCAGATTTAGCTGAATGTTGTCACTTGTAGATCAGAAGCCAAATCCAGTTTTGGGTTATACTGCCACCTATTGGTGCAGATTAGAATGAGCTGAAGCTGAATCCTCTGTTCCTGTCTCAGGCTGAGTGGTGAGTCTCCGTTCCAGGGAAACAGCGACACAGAGACTCTGGCTTTGGTCACCGCAGCCCAGTGGGAGTTTGACGAGGAGAGCTTTGAAGATATCACAGAAGAAGCCAAAGATTTCATCAGCTGCCTGCTGAACAAGGACCCAAGGTGACTGTAAACACACACACACACACACACACACACACACAAACACACATGCACGCGCGCACGCACGCTATTTTATTTCAATCACACTGAAGGTTTTGCATTCACCAGGCGGAGGAAGTCCTGTGAGGAGGCCCTCGCGCACTCCTGGGTGGTAAAGTTTGACTCTGGAGATGTTACCTCCACCAAGACTCTGTCCAAAGAGAAGATGAAAAAGTTTTTAGCCAGACAGAAGTGGAAGGTAAAACACGAAATATGAGCATTAATTTTCTCTAGAAATGTGTGATGGCTCTTTTTAAAACCCAGTCTGTTTAATAGAAAGCTGGAAAGGCCTTGCAAGCCCTAAAGAGAATGGCCCTGCTGTCTAAAAGTGACAGCGCTGCATCTCCCACAAGCCCCATGCAGGGTGAGACAAACTTTGTTCTTTCATTGGGACCATTTCACTTTACTGGATTAAAAATTTAAAAATAAATTTATATCTTCCAGACTTGCCTCTAAGCCCGGAGGCAGAGGATGCCCTGCAGTCTCTGGATCAGAAGATGCAGGGACCACCACAGTTTACCCAGAGCTTAGAGGACCAAACTGTCGATCAAGGATCCTGCGCTCATCTCACGTGCCATATCATCGGTGTGTGTGTGTGTGTGTGTGTGTGTGAGGAGTTATACATTCTGTCAGCCATGTTTATTGTGTGAATGAGCCATCTGTTCATTTTGAGGAGCCCTTAAACATGGGTGACATTTTTGAGTCCTAATATTAGAGGTGGTTGTGAAACCCACAAGGTCCCATCATTCTAGTTATAATAATAATAATGATGATAATGCATTAAACTTATATAGCGCTTTTCTAGACACCCAAAGACGCTTTCACACACTCTCACATTCACACACTGCTAGTGATGGTAAGCTACTTGTAGCCACAGCCGCCCTGGGGAGGTCTGACAGAGGCGAGGCTGCCATTTGGCGCCGTCGGCCCCTCTGACCACCACTAACACAGGCAAGTTGGGTGAAGTGTCTTGCCCAAGGACACAACAGCAGGATACCCCTGGCGGTACCTGGAATCGAACCCATGACACTCCGATCATGAGGCAACCCGCTCTACCACCTGAGCTACTGCTGCCCCAATTAATTATTTAAGACCCTAAAACATCTCTGTTACCACTGAGTTAAATCTGAAGTTACATTACAACCCTCACACTAACTCCAGACAGCACATCAGACCAACTATAGATTTTCTTAGATTAATTCATTTGAAGTCTTGAAATGGTGTGTTAAAGGTGCAATATGTAGAAAAGAAGTAAAACTGACATCCTGTGGTAAAATGTGGTTACTGCAACAACTTTAAACAGCTCTGGAGCTTTTTAAATTACAATAGTCGGCGCTGCAGCATTAGCTCCCAGGAGACACGGCACCCCCACACTCACTGATGGTGAACAGTAGTTATGTCCCTCCTTCCTTTATTTTGAAAGGAGAAAAACTGGCAATCCCAGCAGCCAGCTGGATATGAGATATGATTCAGTGTAACCGTCCTTCCAAAAGGACTGAAACATTAAACTCTTTTGGGATTTTCTCACTAGAAGATTCTCACTACATTCTTACATACTGCACCTTTAACCCCCAAAACATGTGATGATGTTAAACATGACTCTTCTTTGTAGTCTGTATTTTGTAATAAACTGATGTGATTTGTCATCCAAATTAGTTGGAAAAGTAATTTTGACTAACTTCCATACATGTTGTACGGCTGCAGGATATCCTGATCCAGAGGTGCTGTGGCTGTGTGGAGATGAACCCCTGGAGGAATCGCCTTCCCTCCAGATAGAGTATGAAGATGACGGCCGCTGTACTCTGATTCTGCCTAAAGTTAGCCCAAAGGACTCCAACGTTTACACCTGCAGGGCGACCAATGAGCACGGGGAGACCGTTAGCTCAGCCAAACTAACAGTTTTATAACCAAGTTTATATTGATGCAATCTGTGCAAAGATGAAAACGATGAGCAATATTTGGCTTTTTGAATATGCACAGCCATGTTTGACAAACATAAGCTCATAGCATTGCTGGAAACGGATAACACACTGTATCATTTAGATAGGACCAATGATGAGCAGCCTACCAGTGCTTTATGTCTGTATACAGTTGAAAATATTTACATACATGTGGCTTTGAAGCTGATGATGAGAAACACGGTGGACAGCAGCTGCCTCAAATAAAAGGATTCTTGTATTTTAAAGGGAATTGAGTCTGAAAGCAAGTATGTTTGTTTTTTATCAAGACTTAAGGATTCTGGTCAAGGGCAAGTTTCCTTTTTTTCAAAGCCAATGTCTGCTTATAAGAAAAACATGCAGCTGAGTTCTCTGTTTTCCAGGTCATGGTGAACCTCACTGGCTGACATGAAAGCAAATGGACAGACGTCTTTAGTTTGTTCAAGACATGTTATTCCTCCTTAGTGGAGCTGTGTTAAGTGTGACTGGAACATGAGGAGGTTTTATAAACTGTATGAAGGACAGAGCTGAAAGGACATGATTTATTCTTCACCGTGAGAAGAAAAACGAGTCACACAGCCGAATGGCATGACACGGGTGAACCAGCTCCTCAGGTGAAGACTCTGTAGTCCACCTACATCTAAACAACAAGGGACAGGAAAGGCTGACATTCAGCAGAGGAGTGGCCCTCAGCTCTGACCCTAATCCTCAGACAGTTTCAGTCCAATTCACATCTTCCTGCATCCGACCAAAACATCTCACAAGTCGGACCGGTCCAACACAATAAGCCCTAACGACACAAACAACTTCTCACTGGGAAGCTTGAGCGGTTTCCAACACAGACACACTCCTACACACACCTACGCCTAAGGCCACATTCAAATCACAAGCTACACCAGGGATACTCAAATGCAAGTCTCAAAGGGCCGCATTAAAACTTTTCAGTGAGTCAAAGGTCCATTTATCATCATTAGTCGATCAACACGCCGTAATAAAATTAGCTTGAACACAACTCGCCGCCTTCTATCAAAACAGCACAAAGCACACAATGCAAGTCAGCAAGACATTCAAATGAATACCTAAATAAAACTAAAAAGAAAACCTGTACTAAATTCATCCACAGCTAAGGAAATACATTCTGCGTTTATTATTCTGTCACAAAGCTGTTTAATCACATCACCAGCCAGTGTTTCTGTTGGTCCTGCTGCTGCAGGGTCTGAGAGAGGGATCTGCTTAGTTGTAGCTGTCGTTTCCTCTTTTGATTGCCATCAAACATGTTTTCCATCACGTCAGTCATACATTCTTCCATTTCTGCATCAGAGAAAGGCTTCTTGAAACTCCATGAAACTGAGGGATCATCCTGTTGTTTTTTGTGCTTGAGTAACTAAGTAACTCACAGATGTAACTAAAATCCTGCTTGCAGCGACATAGAATGGTGTCATTGCGTTTATTTTTGCTGTTCTTACCTCAGATTTTTGAGAAAATGTATCTTCAAAATCCTTGTGCTTGGTCTCATAATGCCATATCCAATAGGAAACCTTTATCACTGAAATGGTCTCTTGGCAAATTAAACACATGGTGCCGGATAGCGGGAGAAATAAACGCTAATTGTTCTGTGCATTCATCTTTAAACTGTCTATTTCTCTCGTCCACTTTTCTTTTAGCCTTTTTTTGTCCCATCCCAAAAACTGTAGATGAATAATGAACGAGTGGGCTGCTCTGAAAGTGAAAGTAAAAGCGTGAAAGAGTGTGCTTATGACACGGAGGAGAATTCTGACACGGGGTGGTGGTCTTCCAGTTATTATTTAAATAGAGAGCACACAATACCGCGCTGCCTCGGTAAACGTGAAAGAATCGCTGCTTCAGGGTTGGAAGGAGGAGTCCCTCAATAGATGGCCCACAGTCCAGACCTGGCCCGCTGGCCACCTGTTGAGGGACATTAAGCTAAACTAGCATTTATGTGTTGGACCATAGGAAGAAGCCAGTGTACCTGGAGTAATGGACCTCTTCTAGCAGAAAGGTCTTCTGCTTGACCTTCTTTGAACTCAAACACCATCTATACATGACTCCTGCAAATGTGAATCCAGCAGAACCAGCATGATGTTTTTCTCAGTAGTATACACAATAAACAACTCAACACGTTCACGTGTCAATAACGAATAAATACACGTGCAAGAAAATTTAGATTTATAACCTTTGCAACATGATTTTTCTGACATTTTTCAAGCTACATTACAAATATATTTTATTGCGAAATAATGAAGCGGTGGCAGCGTGACGTTAGAATCACATGGTGAAGAGCAGGAAGCCGCTGAAGGTGTTGTAGTTCATCCCATCATCATACACAAGCCTGCTTGCCATCAGCTCCACATACACCGCGTCTCCCGCTACCAGAGGGATGACGGCGGCGTTGCTGCCCATGTCATTGCTGTCGGAGCCTGAGACGTCCCAGACGGACGTCAGCCTTTCGTCGTTCTTCATGAGACTCACCACCGAGTTTGGAGTTTGGGCGAGGTTGTTAAACATGGAGAAGCGGAAGAAGTACATCCCGCTGACGGTTGCTGTGAAAGTGCCTGTTGAAGTAAAAGGGATGAGGATTAGGATACTTATCTTTCTGTGAATCTCACTCTGTCCTTGCATCATGCTGTGCATTACATGCCTGTTGAGGGATTGTAGTTGTTGCCCGTGTTGGAGAAAACCTTCTTATATTTCAGAGGAGTAGCGACGCTAAACGGTCCTGTGTTTCCAGAGCCGGAATCCAAGAGAGCTGCAGAAAAAGCCACCCGAGGTGTGCCTGAAAACACGTGAGCAACTCAGACAAATAAGAAATAATAATCATCTGGTAACACTTTAGTTTAGGGAACACAACTTAATCATTAATTAGCTTTCAAATAATGATAAATGATAAATGACCCGCACTTGTATAGCGCCTCTCATAAGGACTCCAAAGCGCTTTACACTACAGTGTATCATTCATCCATTCACACACATTCACATGCTGATGGTGATGAGCTACAGTGTAGCCACAGCTGCCCTGGGGCGCACTGACAGAGGCGAGGCTGCCGAGCACAGGTGCCACCGGTCCCTCTGACCACCACCAGCAGATTATAATATGCATATTGGTGGACTACTAACTCTGAACTGGTCATTATTAATAAAGCACTTTTTTTCCGCGCTTTTTTTTTTCTTTTTCACTGACTTTTCGTTGTGCAGATCACTTTTCCCGTTGCTCTCCTCTTCTTCACGTGTCATTGGAATTCATTTGGACTCCTAAGCTTTGCTGCCGTCCACAGGTGACAAAGAGAAACATTTTCCGGGGAACTAGATTTTTGAGCCTGAAGTGGAAAACACACACACACACACACACACACACACACACATATATATATATATATATATATATATATATATATATATATAATGTCTGCAGTGCTCTCAACTCAAACCCCAGCGCACTGCATATAGAAGACACTGAAATGATCTACATTAGCCTTCTTTATTGCTTTTTATAATTTTTTTTAACCTTTATTAACCAGATGAGTGGATTGAGACCTCATCCTCATTTACAACGACGATATGGCCAACAGACAGAAGCAACAGACACATAAGAGTCTAAAGAACACACATGGTGGACCTAAAGGCTTCAATGTTGCAGTTGTAGTTTGCCATGTGTTTAGAACTGATAAAGCATCCACAACTATAACAACAACAATGATAATAATAATAACAATAATAATAACAATAATAATAATTATTATTATGCCATGTATGTCCCTGTATGCCATGCAGGGACTCAGGAGCATGATCGTTTTACTCTTCAGCAGCTGCAGGATTGTTTCTGAAGGAAAGGAGATGTGATGTGCGGATCTGAATTGCTAATGAACCCATATTTCTTGAACTAATACACCTTCTTTACCGCTGTATTAAACCCAAATGAAAATGCGAAGGTTAGAGCCCTATTTTCCTCTGACAATTAAAGTTCAGTGCTGGTGGAAGATGGGAAAATGCTCTTTTTACAATGAGCCAAAAAGCCACATTTAAATGCAGATAGAAAAGCACCCTGGAGAGATTTCCATTCAGGCTTTAAAGAGAGAATTTCAGGTTCTAAAGCAGAAATCCCACCAGGTTTGTTTGTATATGCCTTGATGCCCTTTCTCGACACAAATCAGCATGCATCTTTGATAAACCTGATATCTTTCAGGTAGTCGCACACAAGTCTACATGCACACAAAACACACACGAGACAAAGAGCAATCAGATCATCCAAATAACCCGGGGCAAGAACTGGAAGCAGGAGCAACGAAGGCAGTTTGCGTTGTCCGTTTAGGGCAAAAAGGGGGTGCAGGAGGAGCGATGTTCACAGCTGTTGCACCAAATTCTGTGAACCTTATGTTGCGACTCCAGGGGCCGGTGTTGAGTCTTGTTGCGTCTGTACACAGACATAACATGGCCGCCATATTGGATGGGTCGTCTGATGAAGTGTTTATTGTAGACAAACGTGACACAAAATGCTGCGACAAGTAGGGATTTCAGAACATTAAAATATGAGGTAACTTTCCTGATTGGCTAGTTATGCATTTAATACACTTTTATTTATTTAATTTTTTTTACTATTATCAGGAACGTTCCCAAAAACTGTCTGTTTAAATAACTACTAGTGTTTAGGGGTTGTATGAACTAGTCGACTTCACGGCTCTGTAGTGACTTTTTATGCCTGTCATCGACTTGCCGCTGTCATGTGATAATGACTAACAAGATGCAGTCCTCGGAAAAGACAGCAAGTGATGAGCCCCTGCGTCAGGAGGCGGAGGCGACGCGCTGTGCCAGAGCGTCGGTACTGACACCGGCGGTAAAACGGACATTTAACCAAACTGTGACCTTTTCCCTCTTGCAATTTAACCTTCCCCTCACCCCCATCCTAACCTTAACCAGTTTGCGCATGCAAAGCTCTGATCGTTGACGCGCTCCAGACATCTGCGTCCTGAGCACCGCCAAATCAGGTGTCACCACCTCAAAAACAAATTAAACAAGCGATTGTTCATGTCGGCTCATTTCCTTTAATGTTTTCTGTCTGTAATTTGTGCCTGATGCGTTTCGCTGCTGCAGAGCGAGGCGCATCACCTGTTTTGTCCTCCGGTAACGCACCCCCAAAATTCCACTATCTCCGCTCCGGCACGAACTCCGCAGCAAAAACATTCCCGTTGTAGTTGGCCGGCGAGCAGCGGCACTCCACTGTTTTTGCGGTCGGTAGATCTTTTAGAACTGCAGTTCAAAGGTAACTCATAAGGTGAATATATATGAACCCAGGTAGCAGTTTTTCTTTAGGATTGAGAGGAGATGCAGGAAGATAATAAACAGGCAGGACAGAAAAATAGTCAAATAAAAACAAGTTAGTATGTGTACCTGGTGGTTGCAACAAACAGACACCGCTGAAGGTAATCAGAAGTGAGGAACAGAAAATGAAATAATTATTTTAATGTTTAGAGCAGCAGGAACTCCGAGAGGCTGCAGGCGCATCAGTGAGTTTGCAGCTGCTGCGCAGGGGGAGGGGGGAGAGGACTGAAGCAGGATGCAGAAACTACCGTTGTTAAAAGAGATGTGTTAGAAAATGTGGGCGCAATTTCAATTGTCAAAAACTCCAGCGAACCTACCGACACCCCCCCCCCCCCCCCCCCCCCCCCGTGCAGCTTCAGGTGTATGACGTCATCAACGACTACTCGAAGTCGACTCGATTTTCATTAGACTGTCGACTTTTAAAAAAATTAAGTCATGCAACCCCTAGTCACAAAATGAGATTTATCCATAAAGAAGCCTTTAACTTCTGCAAACATTCAAGACTGACCTGACCCAACCCTAACCCAAAACATATATATGTATTTAAGATACTTTAACACAGAATATTGCTGATTCTAAAGATTGTGATGCAAAGATCTTAAATATGCTGTTAGCCCAGTGCTACACTTTGGCACAGATGCATTTAAATTACTGGAACAGGTTAGAAGCTGCACCATTTGAAAATAACTTCAAAAATAAAGTCCATCATCTTTGTGCTTTAGTGCACATTTTTTCAAGACGATCAACTAAACGCATTTCATGTAAATTTGCAAAAATCTGAAGCTAATATTTTATTTCTGCTTATTTTCCTACAATATCTGGTATTACGCCTAAAAATGCAGAAATATCAAACCATTGTAGATGTGAACGCAAAAGCTATGCAACTTAATATATTTTTCTTTTTTTAAATTCATTTACGGCGACGCTCATATAAATAAATAAATAACATAATTTCAACACACGTAATCATACATCAGCACTTTAATATTGTTAATAATAATCTCGCTTTACACTACAGTGGACGGCGCGTATCATCTGTGGTGAAATACCCATCCATCAGGATTATCAATAACTAGTATAAACACATCACATTTATCCCTGTCTTAACAAGGTGGTCTTGGCTAATGGCCAACTATCTGCATCTGAATGATGGAGAGACAGAGCTCATTGTTTTTCACCCCAACAGCAGGGCTGTGGGTCGTTATGTTGATCTTGGCCCTCTTTCTCCCTACTCAAAACCAGCTGTCACCAGTCTGGGGGTGAAAATTGACGCTGGACTTAAATTTGATGCTCACATCAACTCAGTGATCCGGTCCAGTTTCTTTCATCTGAGACGCCTTGCAAAAATCAAGCCTATGCTTTCGAGAGCCCACCTGGAGCAGGTACTCCATGCTTTTGTAATTTTTAGGCTTGACTACTGCAACTCTCTCTACGCAGGGTTGTGTCAGTCATCACTGCGCCGCCTACAGGTTGTGCAGAACAGCGCAGCCAGGTTCCTGACTGGGACCAGGAAACGGGACCACATCAGTCTGGTTCTGGCTTCTGGCCTCCCTGCACTGGCTTCCGGCCTGTTATCGTTCACACTTCAAACTCCTCGTCTTTGATTACAATTTCTTCCAGGGTGGTGCTCCCCCCTATCTAGCCACGCTCCTTAACAGACATTCCACATCACGCGCTCTGCGCTGCTCTGACCAAGGCCTGCTCGCTGTCCCTCTTTCGACTATTTTAACAGCCAATCTAAAGACAACTAGGCTACATCGGAGACCTGTCAGTCCTCGTCTACGGCAGGGAAACGCTGTCTTGTGACCCCCGACCCCCACCACCACCACCACCACCACACTTCCCACTCGTTTACACACTTATCTGTTAGCCGCCGGCTTCATTTATGTTGATTTTAATTCCCTGCTTTCATTGTCTCTTTATGTCTTGTTTTACCCATTTGTTTTCTACTTTAATGTTTTTACCTTTTTTTTCTCATGTACCGTGTTCAGCGCCTTGGGCACCCCCCACCCCCCTCACACTGGTTTAAACACTTATCTGTTAGCGCAGTCAACTGCACAGCAGACTATTAACATTTTACTGTCAAATTACCTAAATAAACATGATGAAATGCTAAAGACATCTAGGCTACATCGGAGACCTGTCAGTCCTCGTCTACGGCAGGGAAACGCTGTCTTGTGACTCCCGACCCCCCACCCCCCCACCCCACCACCACCACCACCACCACCACACTTCCCACTCGTTTACACACTTATCTGTTAGCTGCCGGCTTCATTTATGTTGATTTTAATTCCCTGCTTTCATTGGTCTCTTTATGT